GCCACATATTACATATATCACTACACACAGTATTCGTAGGTTACTACATGACTGTAATTTATTGAAATGATAATATTGTGTTTGTATTTTCTCATACATTAATCAGGCAAATTCTTTCTTTTTAAAAAACTCACTGTTTTTTTCCCCCCAGTTCTATTTGCTTACCCTAAATGTTGACATGCAGAACAGGTGTGAAATTGAGAGATCAGCCATTTGAAAGGGCATGGGAGCATTTGAGAAGATTGAATTTCTTACACTTTATACCTTGTGATGTTTGTTGGTTTTTAAGCTACTGAGCTACTTCTTCTGAAAACATGCCTTGCTCTTTTCATTTTCACCTTAGCCACTGAATTAAGATATGCATTATTTTTATTTCAATAGATAATAGGTATATTATTTAAAAAAAAAACGGAGTGAAGGGAATGTTTCTTGTACTAGGAAGAATTCATAAATATGGAAAGTCAATTTAATTATTAAGAGAAATAAAAAGGATTGTTTCTCTCCTTCCTACATCCCAAATCTAGTGCACCTCTGTCTTGCTTCTCCACATTCTCTTTGCCTTTTAAGCCTTGTCTTCAGAAGTTTCCTAAGCATCCAGCTTTGATTTGGTTAACTTCACTCATTTTTAAATGAGACCTCAGAGTACCCTGTTTACATTGCAGCAACAGGAAAGAAGGCAGTTATCACTATAATTCAAGAATAAAAGAAAGGAGGTATGACTACACTTCAGTTCTATACACAAGTATTCACTGAGGATTAATACAAACTTCTCCTCAGAGAGTGGTCAGAAGAAAGAGAAGAACTGTATTCTTGTCTGGATAAGCAGATGGTTCAGTCAGGATGATGAGGTCTCAGGGCATGCAACAAGAGGGTTAATGTCATAAGCCATATGGAAACACAGCCCAAAAACTGAAACAGGAAGATACTTAAAAAGAATGGACACTTGAACTGTACATAGATAAGTGTGAAAAAATGATAGGAAGAGTAAAATAGAGACAACTACAGGTGTCCTCTAGGCAAAGAGGTACATATTTAAAGTCACAAAGAAACAGATAGGTATAGCATATTTTGTGAAACAATGTACTTTGCCGGACTAATAGAGTATTTGAGGCAGGGGACAGTGGGAAATAAGGTTGGATGGTTTGGGTTTAATGATAAGAAGAAAGATTTACCAATTTCAGACAAGACCAGTAATTTAATCAGGCATTGTAATTTACTGCAAAATCAGATTTTGAAGGTATTACCCAAATAATGATATATCTGTAATCCACTATTGACTTACCCCACTGCCACCTTATCTTCTTGAATATAAAGAATGGGATATAACAGGGAAAGACTTGGGGGATTTTTTTTATTAAATTTCAAACAAAGTATTGCTTCATCTTTGAAAAATGAATATAATATGCATGAATTTAACAAATAGATAAATGATACAAAGTAAAAATCCTGTACTTTTTAAAGAGTTGTTTGTTTAATAAGGTTTTAGCACACTACAATTAAAGACATTTCTTACAAAAGAAGCACAAAGCCAGGTTGAAAAATCTTATGAAAATTTAATTTGCAGTTTAAAGTGGTTTGGATAAAGTGATGGAAACATTGGATTAATGACCAAATCTATTTTTAAGAAGGAAAAGAATATTATAGTGCCAAGATTTTTATTGCAATTTTTCCCCAAAACATAAAAAAAAATAAAATGAGTTTAATCAAATAAATAAAAGGAATAGTTTCAGCTGTTCTCTTCAGGTAGGTGCACAACTGTGGAAGCATCTAGAGAACATGAGCTGTCATAGTTCTTTTATACCTTGTTGCAGAATCAAAGTCTATCCTATCGCTCAGTTTCATAGGAACTGGTTAAGATGGGATTCAACAAATAAAAAATCCTTATTGTGTCCTTCAGTTTACATATTCACTCAGTGAAAATTTGAAAGCAAAGTCAGATATTATAACAAATCGATAAAAGGTACTGCTTACATCTTTACTAGTTTTGCTGTTTCATTTTTATAATTTTGTTTGCTTTTTAAGTTTATCAATATGCAAAAGGGAACCTAATAGAGAAGGCAACATAATATTTATGGCTTGGAAAATATTATGAAGAAAGTACTATGAATGCTATTTTGGGGGAAAATAAAACATTTATTTTCCCCCAAAATTTGGTCTGAATACTTTTAGGTTTACCTTGTAAACCAGAAACAAAAATGTTCTGTTTCTTTTGTAAAAAGTGATAAATATATAGATACACGTATTCCTTGAAATAATTCACTATGAAATTATTGGAGCTCATCAGGAAGGCAGGGCTAGGTTTAACCCAATGTTCTTTAATATTTTAGGGTAAATGTCATTTTGTTGATTCATTTTCTCTTAGTTGAGACATACATTGTGGTATTATGGCTTATACAAATGTGCCTCTTTTTAAATAAGTGTTTGTTTGACATATCAATTAATTTTTAGAATTTTGTTTCTAAAAGTGTGAAGCCCATCAGGATGAAAGGTGACAGTTTCTTATTCAATACATAAAGGAGACATACAAGGTACCTCTGGGCTGACTCTTCTGCCACACCCTCATTTGGCTCTTTATCATTACTTTATGAGACACTGTGCCAGCAGCTATGCTTAAAAGATGATGACCCTTCCCATGATGATTCACAGCCAAATATTTATTAGCCAGGGTCTGCCAGTTATTCCTGAGACCCACCTTTCTTGTTTAACATAGTGCAATGACTAAAATAGCTTGCAAAATTCTACCTCTCCATCTAGCAATCAATAGTTTCCCAAGTTCTTATGACTATATTTCAAGTTCTTTGTTAGTAATGTTTGGAAAGTCAGTTCAATCATCAATTATTTCTCTATGGCATGCAAAGAATTACCCAACTATTTTTAACCCTTTGAAACTTCTTATTGTTTGATTACAAACATATGAGAAGATTTGGTAAGTAATGTTATGAAAAGTCAAATAAGAGAGATAAAAGAGGTTATATTATTCTTTGAAGGGAATAATTTCAACTCAGGCACCTGTGTTCATAAAGTAATGTAGTATTCTTTGCATTAATGAGATGCCATATTGACTAAAACTCTTTAAAAAGTAGAATTCAAACACCAAGCCAGTAAGAACTGGAAAAATGCTAAACTTAACTCCATTGTAATTTGGACCTGTCAACATAATATCAGGACAGCAGTTTGGGAGATAATTTCCAGGTACATTTATAGTATTCCCCTTGTAGTAACTGAAAATATGCTTTATCAAACAATCAAATATTTGCCCTAAGTTCTACTTCAGGATGTTTATATTTGCTCAACTTAAAGTCAAGCATTTATTTTCAATGGGACTTGAGAGTTGCATGCATTAGGAGATTGGGAAATAGTTGTGTACCTAATAAAAATTAAGAAAATCATTTACTACCAGCTAAAAGTCAGTTTTAAGTGTTTGATTCTCGTCTTCTCAAAAATACACTTATGATAGTGGGCTGATATATGCAGATTTTACTCACTGAATTTACCATTACAGGTGAATAGACTATCTCTTTTCCTCTGAAGATCAATATTATGTGCTGTATCAAACATGTTCCTATGAAAAAGGAATCATCTCCATAGGCTCCTTTTGTGTGACTTGCTTTCATCCCTGCAGCCAAGTTAAAAGGATCATACTACGTAATTAAAACTAGGAGTAGCTATGGATAATACTTAAGGAAAAGCTCCACCATAGAACAGAACACAGGGTTTTGTAGATTATAGTCCTTCAACAAATAGTTGTTGAAATAGATTGTATATAAATCCTTGCATTATCCCTAACTAAAATGACTAGTTCTCCTATTTACTTCTTTTGCCATAGGAAACTACAACAGACAAAGTCAATGCTATACTTGACTTTCATTTCTTCTCCAGTAGATTTCCACACTTAACTATTTACCTACTTAAAATTTTGAATTATCTTCTTAAAACCGTCTAATCACATCATGAATATCACCAGAGATTGTTCTCTAAATGCACCTTGGGGAATAATTCATTGCCTTACCATGAGAAAAGATAAAAGATTTTAAAAAATTGTTTGAAGGCAAAAGTAGTAACACATAGAATACATAGTTCATTTGGATATCTTTTTATTATTATCATTTAATGCCTTATGTTTTATAGGTACAAAGTCATTCTGAAACAATGCTTGTGGAACTTTTAATTTAAATTTTCCACTCTGAATAATAGTTGACATTGAAATTGTTCAGCTATATTACAGTCTCTCTTTATAAGAGAAAAACATCACTTAAAGAAGGCCATCCACAAAATTTTTCAGAATAGAGAAATAATTTTCCAATTGTTTCAGTCTTGGTCAAATTTGGCTTATAAACATCCTGACTTCATAGGCATAAAAAGGTATAAGGTGTGTGTATGAAGTCTAATTCATGTGAATATAACGTGTGTACTTTTTCAATTTAAGTTTACATATTTCAATATGCATGATTTTTTCTTATAATTATGAAATGAAATTTGAAATATTTGATCTATCAATATGTACTGATAAATGATACAGCAGTAAATGCAAATTTCATGGTCAAGTTTAAAGGACCAAAAGAAAAAAAAATCTTCTTTCATTGTTCATGTTTTATCTATTTTTAAAAGCCATAGGGGGAAAAGTGCTCTCAGGGAAAAAAAAAAAAAAATGAAGCTTTACTGCAAAAGAAATGAATGCAAGAAATAGCACTTTAAGTAGTGAAGAGACATGAAGCATTGCGACTTCATAGCCTGCTAAGGAGCAACAGCTGTACCTAATTTCAACTTGACGTGCTTCAGATCTCATATTCATATAGGTATTTAATGATCCAAACATAATGGTCCTATATAGAATAATTACTGATATGAAGGCGCAAACTTCATACGCATTCCTTTTTAAATGATCCTTCAAGAGAAAAACTGCACTGGCTCTTTGAACAATGAATAGTCTCTTTCACCAATCCAAATGTTTGGGGCTAAATAGCTTATCTTTTAAGAGAGAATAATAATAAGTGCCAAGGTTACTTCTTTTTGACAGACTCTTTTTGTCTCCCCTCTTCCCAGTACAGCCAGTACAATGATAAAAGGTAGAATGCCAAGCCTATCATTAAGTCATACTGATAGATGGTTACAAGAAATATCAGAAACAAAAGGAAATAAGATATTTTAGAGCTGGTGTATTTTGAGAGTAGAGACTCATTGCTTTGAGCTTGACTTTCCTGGACAGAGAGACTAGCAGAAGCAGAGCTATCAGATTCTTTGTTACTAGAAGAGCATCGCGACTGTCCAGAGTTTATTAATCCTTCATTTTCATGCCTTTCCTCTTCTGTGTTCTCCAGAGGCTCACTGATTAAAATCATTGGCCCCAGAGATTTTCCCATCCTGCATTCTCCTGGTTGAAAATTCTGGCCTATACATCTTTCTTTTCTACCATCTGATATCATTATTTCTGAACTTTTGGAAAATTCTTTGGGTTTAGACACAGTGTGATCCTGGGTTTCACTGGTTGGATTACAATTATATTCAGATTTGGTAGGAATAGAATGGGGAGTCATGGTCGCAGTTGTACTCTCTACAGCAATTGCCTGTTCACAAGATGGCACTGATACTTTAGTCTGGTGGCTAGAAACATTCTGAGAAGCTCTGCTAGTGTCTGAGTTAAAAGCAGAATAAACCAGAGCATCTAAATTTGTTTTCTTTGATAATCCTTGGACCTGTCCAAGATCTCTATTTTCTGGGATTTTTTTTTTGTCTGTTGACAACGTTCCGAACTGTAAATTCAGTTTTGACATTTCTTTTTGATTGCCTGTAATGGCCTGTGAAGATTCTTCAACCGATGTGTTATTTCCAGTGCCACATTTCTCCCTGTCGTGTGCCTTCCCGGGATTGTACATAGATGTGGTTTCCTCCTTCTCCATTTCATCTACATGTACGTTACAAATATCTAAACGTGACTCCTTTTCAAAGTCGTTGTCATCGATTACACCTGCTGTATCTCGTTGACAAAGGGTATAGTGTGAATCATCATCTCTCCCTTCATGTGGATCAAACGCTGTTTCTTTTACCTCGATGGGCCTGTCACTTCGTGCTGTCTCTTGAGGTAGCTTAGCAATTATTGCTTTCTCTCTAGCAGACATGCTTTCTGGAGTACTTTCTGATGTTGTCTTAATTATATAAGCTGTTCCTGCTTCTGCTTTCTCAGTAATACCATGATCAGCTAGAGAAGACAGTTCGTAACGCTCTGTTTCTTGGCAGGTAAACAATTCTTCCCTAGGAGTAGCTTTCAAATTCCTAATGTTATCTCTTTTTCTGCACATGTCTTCACAATCTGCTTGTTCTTTGATCTGCTCAGCTATATTTGTCTCACTCTCTCTTGCTTTTTCCTGACTTTCCAGAACATTCCAATATTGTTTAGGCTGTTTATTCTTATTCTGATCTTCAGGATTAATCCAACCTGATTTTTCTTCTTCAATTTGGAAACGATAATCATCCCTTAAACCATTTCCATTTCTTGGTGAGCAAGCTTGACTGGCTATCCCTTCTAAAGGAGTGCCTTCATCTCTTTCTGGACTTGTGAATACAGCGTCTTCACAATTTGGATTTTTCCTTGGTGAGGGAAAAGTGTCTGCTGTGATTGTCTGGGCCAGAACTGTAGTATCTTTGCCTAGCACAGGAACCAGGTCTCTGTTCCTAATTTCCAACCCTTCTACACTTATTTCAGGGTGGCCCATCTTTCCTTCTTGGTCATGTAAGATTGACTGAAATTTTTTGCTTTGTTTTTCATGAACACCTAAGTGTATTCTTTGTTTCTTCTCATCCATACTGTTGCTATAACCTTCTTTGGAAGTTACATTTTCTGTTGATTCTTCCAGATATGTGGATGTATCTGAATGGAAATCTCTTCTTGAACATTCCCAATCTGTTATTTCAATTTTCTTAACTCCTCCTTCATGATTCTTATTAAGGTTTTCTGCCAATAGTCGATCTGAGGAGGGACAGAATATTTGTACTCTGCCACTCACATGGGCTGGATTGGCATTATCATCTAGAACTTCTTTGCTGCCAGTATGTAATTGCGCTAATTCATCACTACTGGTTTCTCCCAGTGATGACTTGATTTTTCCCAAATCTGAAGCAATTTCCTCTGAAGCTGGATGACTATCCTCATTTCCAAAGGAATATTTTTTATTGTGGTAAAAATCTCCCTTTAAGGAACTTTCTGCTGATGAACTTGGAGACAAAGATCTTTTGAACAAGTCAGTGCATATTTCACCATGAATTTGCTTCTTCTCTAACCCCTCAGCTTTATTTGGGAAATCAACTGGATCTGTTGAAAATGTGTTCTTTTCGTCTCTTGAAGTGGCACTTCCAGTTCTTAGTAAGCGTTGATTTATCTTATGGGATAAAAACAACAAAAATAATGACCATCTGACTAAATATATTTTATTAATTTGGTTAGTAATTATCTGATAGATTTCCTTGATGCACCTCATTTGCAAAATTTATACCAACTCTGGAAGCCTGATGTTTTGGGGAGATCCTTGTAGGCTATGACTTGGGAATGAGATTAGTAAGAAAAGGGGACCAAATTAATCACTCTCCTTCCCAGCCTCCGAATATCACATTGTATTATTCACTATTCTTGCTTGTCATTGCATTTTCTCCTCACTTAGGATATACACATTGATAGCTCCATGCTAATCAATTAGAGAGCAGCTTCCTGGGTGCCCCTTGCTGCATTTACACTTGCTGTAGGTGCCCCCATTACAGTTTCTCTTATTAATATGTTTTCTGCAAAGCCTCTGCAAACTATTAATAGCAAAACGTCACTCAAAGAAAAGTGAGGGAGTTAATGTCTCTGCAAATTCTGTTTTAATGACCCTCTGCCAACTGGTACTCAAATGTATTTGAGCTCTTCAGTGATGCCAACTGTCAGGATTTAACAGTGAGATGCCTGTTTTTTTTTTTCCTCCTCATAACTGACATTTGCATGATCTCAATAATTATATGCAAATCTTACGTTTTCCCCTTCTTCTCACATAAGGCTCATGTTACTTGTCAACTGCACAGCTGTCTTGTAAGCCAATGCCTGTGGGTTCCACAGATTTGGTTGTATTTCCATCTATTATAGAGCTTCATTGTTTTATGCATTAACGTCAGCATGGAGCAAATTAGCATCTAAATTACTGCTCCCTGTTCATTTATTGGACGTACAATCTCAGTAACTTCTAAACAAACTTTTTTTTTATTTGAGTCGGCTCATTGTAATGAGGTGTATTGGTGAAGTATGTGATTTTTCAGGGTACTTTCATTATATTCTGTAGTTTGAAAAAAATGGTGATGTTAACTTTCAGCTGGTGAGAATTCTCAGAATGGGTGACAACTTTGTAGTTTCTTAAAGTTGGAGCAAAGTAAATTGCATACTTTAGTGATGCAGTTGCCATATCACTATAGAAAAGGTGGAATATGTGGGGGAAAAGATAAGCTCTATTTCTTTTCTGTTTCAGCACTGACACTCGAAGAGGCAAATGTCATTTTAATCTTAGATGATTATGAATCCATGTATCCCAATGATATGAGCTCCAACCAAATACAATAAGGGATAAATTGCATTATGTGACTCATTTACTTCTATTTCTTCCTTTATGATAAAAGTGCTATCTAAACCATCCCCCCAAAAAATCCCCAATAGATTGAATGCTCTCCAAGTGTGAAATTTATAACAAATTTAATACAAAATTGTACAGCACTGAATTTGTTTCCTGTTTAAAAATTATGGCACAGGCTATTTTCTTCTCCCTTGGTAATTTAATACTTTACAATGATATAGAACTTTGAGATTCTCACAAGGATGGAACTAAGTAAAATGTGAAATGAAATGCTGTTAAATGCAAGGATTATAGACTTGTAGAGTTGGACAGGACATTAACAATCATCTCGTCCAGCCTTCTCATTTTACAGACGAGTTTATGCTAAGTGTACACGTGTCACAAAGATTAGAAATGCACATCAGGAGAGTGCTACCTCTCCTACAATTCCTGTAAACTATTACTCAGAGCCTCTGGTACAGAGATAAGAAATGAATGTCATTAATTTACCACTGCAGAGACCAGAAACAACATACTGAAATCAAAGTGCCTTGTTGATCAAGCTAGAGATGCAAGGAAAGAATAGACAGTGCTTTCACATTTGCAAATTATATTAGTTGAAGCTATTGAAAAGCAGGCATTGCAGCATCTTTGAAGCATAAATGGATTCATCTTCTCTAATACCGTGGCAACCAGAACACTTACCATCAACTCTAATTCTTTTTCATTATGTTCATCATGTTCCCTGTTTACGTCTTTTACATTCTGATTACTGGTTTCCAAGTCTTCCTTGTCCTCATGAGAATAAACGATTCTTGGGATATAAGCATCTGTAAAGTTGATACAATGGCACCTTTATAAGGTTGTTTCAATTGTAGGCTTTCAAAAAAGAGAAAAATTCTGTTTAAAAAAATAAATAAGAATATTACCTGTAATCTTTGAATTATCAAAGTTATTCTCTTCTGATGTTACTGATGATTCTTCTTTACTGTTAAAATTAAAACAAAATGTTATACATTTGCCCTGGGACTACATCTTCTAAATATTTTTATACAGGGTGAAATTCAATTCAAGAGCAAGCCAAATAAACATTACAAAACATATTCACATTTTCTTTTATTACTTTGTATATTTTTAAATAAAATTGATCTTTTAGAATAATGCAATAGCAAATACTGACTTTGTAAAAATGTTTAATAATTCCAATAATGCCATATTTCCAATCAAGATTACATTGCTCACATTAAAATTTATATAACTATAGTGAAAATGCATATAAATGTAAATTATTTTATCATTCATGAATTTAATAAGCACAAGTGAGAACATTTCTCTCTTGGTTTAAATAATGAAGTCTTATGCACTGGTAGTCCAGCTATGGTCATGAAATTACTTTCTAAGATATCAACTATTGATTTTGTATTTTATATTATCTAATTTTTTTCAACTGAATTGATATAACATTTACTCTCACTCCAGAAAAGAAGGAAAAAATTTAAAAAGCTAACTAAAAACTGAAAGGCAGCTAAATTTATACTCCATTAAAAGTTTTCATATGTGTATTGCCACTGGCCATTTTATAACCAAGACTTGCAGATTGCTCAAATGCAAGCAGATATTTTCTTTCCTTAAAATGATTCAGGTTACATTCCCTTTTTCCACTATATTCTGTATACTGGTTCAACAGATTAGTACTTTTTTTAGATGTGCATTTGTTTATATTTGTGAGGTCATTAGGATTTGGTTTTTCTATAACATGCAGAAGAAAAAATATTGTTAGTGAAAATGCCCATTTGCACTGTGAAGTCCTAAGTCAATGTATCAGCACTATTTGGCCAAATGTCCATATTTTCTGGTATAGTCTTAGCTGAAATTTCTTCTAGTGACTTTTCCTAATGACTTTTCTGCAACAAAAGAAATCTGGAAAGTTAGTGATGGCTGATAAATTTGCCTAATAGAGTCTAGTCTTCATTGCATGGATAATTTTAATCCAAATCCCAGGACGGCTATTTTTTTTTCAACAAAAACATGAGAAAATTGCAAATTTTTCCATTCTATTATTAAGAAGGTAATTCAAATTTGTATATATTTATTTTTTAATTGATTTCATTTTTTAAATACATGACATCAGAATGCATTACAATTCTTACAACACATAGAGCACAATTTTTCATATCTCTGTATAAAAGTATGTTCACGCCAATCATGTCTTCATACATGTACTTTGGATAATGATATTCTACCATCATATTCTACCATCATTGCTAACTCCCTGCCCCCTCCCTTCCCCTCCCACCCCTCTGCCCTATCTAGAGTTCATCTATTCCTCCTATGTTCTCCCTCCAAACCCCACTATGAATCAGTTACCTTATATCAAAGAAAACATTCGGCGAGAGCAATAGTAATAAAAACAACGTGGTGTTGGCACCAAAACAGACTGGTAAACCAATGGTACAGAATAGAGGACACAGAGACTAACCCTCAAAATTACAATTATTTTATATTAGACAAAGGTGCAAAGAACATGCATCAGAGAAAAGACAGCCTCTTCAACAAATGATGCTGGGAAAACTGGAAATCCATATGCAACAAAATGAAATTAAACCCCTATCTCTCACCATGCACAAAACTCAAATCAAAGGACATAGGAATTAAACCAGAGACTCTGTGTCTAATAGAAAAAAAAAAAAAAGTAGGCCCTAATCTTCATCATGTGGGATTAGGTCTTATTAAGGAAGACTCCTATAGTGCAAGAATTACAACCAAGAATCAATAAATGGGATGGACTCAAACTAAAAAAGTTTCTTTTCAGCAAAAGAAACAATCTGTGAGGTAAATAGAGAGCCTACATCTTGGGAGGAAATTTTTATCCCTCACACATCAGATAGAGCACAAATCTTTAGGGTTTATAAAGAACTCAAAAACTAAGCCCCCAAAAAATAAATAAATAAATAACCCAATCAATAAATGGGCCAAGGACCTGAACAGACAATTCTCAGAAGAGGATATACAATCAATCAGCAAATATATGAACAAATGCTCATCATCTCTAGCAATTAGAGAAATGCAAAACAAAACTACTCTAAGATATCATCTAACTCCAGTCAGAATGGCAGCTATTATGAAGACAAACAACAATAAGTGTTGGTGAGGATGTGAGGAAAAAGGTATATTCATACTTTGCTGGTGGGACTGCAAATTGGTGCAGCCAATATAGAAAGCAGTATGGAGATTCCTTTGAAAACTGGAAATGAAACCACCATTTGACCCAGCTGTCCCTCTCTTCGGCCTATACCCAAAGAACTTAAAAACAGCATACTATAGGGACACATCCACATCAATGTTTATATCAGCACAATTCACAATAGCTAAACTGTGGAACCTACCTAGATGCCCTTCAGTAGATGAATGGAATTTTAAAAATGCGGCATATATACACAATAGAATATTACTCAGCAATAAAGGGAATAAAATCATGGCATTTGCAGGTAAATGGATGGAGTTGGAGAAGATAATGCTAAGTGAAGTTAGCCAATCTCAAATTTGTATATATTTATAATGTTTTATTTTAGCTTTACTAAAAACATTTAATATCTTTTGTGGCAATGTAAATGAAAATGATGTTTATGTAAAAATAATTTCATAAGAAAATACAGTTTTCATAATTGATACTGAATTGAACTATAAATTTATATTGCTTAATGAAGCATATAACTATGAAATGATTTATTTTTATGGAATCCAACAACAAACTGACCTACCTTTCCTTCTCCAAGTACATAATGTATATGTGTTCAAAATATTTAGAGACCATATTTAGAGCATTTAATTGTTCCTGCTTCCTCTTTATTCCCATAACAATACAGAAAATCTCATTTGTAGAGGGAAAAATCATATCTAATGAATGATTTTGCTTTTATCTAGCCAAAATACTATCATTCATACACACACACACACACACATATATATATTATATATATATTATATATATATATAATATATATATAATATATATATAATATATATATATATATATGTTCAATTGTTTTAATATTTTCTTTTTTTTTAGTTGTTGATAGACCTTTGTTTTATTTATTTATATGTAGCACTGAGAATTGAATCCAGTGCCTCACATATGCCAGGCAAGTGCACTACCGCTGAGCCCCAACCCCAGCCCCCAGCCCCAGTCCCTAATTCATTCTTTAAAATAATTTTTTTTAAAGTAATAGAGTCAAAAGGAAAGGAGTCTGCCTTTTAAACCCATTTTAGGGACAAATGTTTAGGGATTCAACTGTACTTTATTTATGGTAGTGTCTTAGAAAAACATGCAAATACAGATATATAGGGAAAAGTTTGCATTCAGAGGTAAACACAAGGAAGAAAAGTAAAAACAAATGAAATTTATATATTATATGAAATACATGTAGGCAAAAAGTAATAGGAAGTGTACAAAATTCTTAAAGGGAAAAGAATAAAATTATATTAAGATATATTAAAGTAGATCTAGAAAAATTAAGTAATATACCATATTCATAGATAGGAAAGACATATTAGGAAGATATTAGTTCTCTCCCATATTGATCTAAGAATTCAATCCTAATCACAATTTAAAAACTTTATAGCATAATTTGGAAGTATGAGTCCAAAGGGAGAAAAAGGACTAATGATAGCTGGAATATTTCTGAAAGATAGAAAAATAGGAGGAGGAACTTCCCTTAGCTGATTTCAGAGTTCCTACGAAGATTTAGCTACTGAAACAGTAAGTACTGGTTAAGGGGAAGACAGACTGATCAACAAAACAGTACTTAGAGCTCAGTAACATAATAAGACATTATCTAAAACCTCGGTATATGGCAAATGTAGCATGTCAAACGATAGGGAAATAAAGGATTAGTCAGTTTAGGGAGACAGGGGAAATGACTTCCCTTATGGAAAAAGATGAAACTGGCACAATGCATCTTGAAAATTTAACTCCACATGGATTAAGACCATAAATGTCAAAAATCTTAAAATTCTTAGAAATATATGTGAATATCTTAGACCTCAGAGTAGGAAATATTTTCATACATAAGAAAAAAGAAAAAGTAGTCCACAAAAATCAGTTAGTGTAACTCTATGAAAATTTAAATATGGTGTCTTAAAAGACTTTATAAAAACACAAATTCCAAACTAGGAGAAGATGTTTATATTACACAAAGTCAACACAAATAAGAATTAAGAGTATACACAGAGAGAACTCCAAATCAATAAGAAAGCACAAACAATTCATTTGGAAGTGAGAGGGCAGACATTTCACAAAACAGAAAGGACATGATCAATCAACACAAAGAGATGATGGGCCCTGCTAGAGAACAGAGAAATGAAAATCAAGATAAAAAGGCGATAGCCTTTTATATGCATTTAATTGGCAAAAATTTAAAAGATACCAAAAGTGGAAGATGATTTGGAGACACAGGCTTCTTGCACACTGCTGGTGGTAGAATAAATAGTGAAATCTACTTTGGAAAACATTTTGACAGGTGCCTTTCTCTAAAATTTAATATTTATATAATCCATAACTACTGCATCTACTCCTAGGCAACATGTGAGTCAAAATATTTTTCAAACTGGCTTTCTAGACTAAATTAGATGATGCTTATAAATAAAATTCTACTCTGAAATTCAAAATGTCAGTCATATGATCTAGCATATCAGAGTTTAATTCAACACCTTAAGTAAATCTGATGAAGATGACAAACTTGATTATTGATGATAAAAGGGACCCAGAAATATATATATATATATATATATAATTGTGTTAAAAGTGAAATGCATTTTTTAATATTTCCCATCTCCCCTTTATATTCCCTGAGTCCTTTTTGAACAGGTGACTTCTTTACTTTTCTGTATTCTCAGTGGTTAACACAGTGCCTGGCACATAATAGTGGCACCATAAGTGCTATTGAATAAGTAAGCTATCCTTTCTATCCCTCCCTTTTTCTTTTTAGT